GATAAATCTTCCTCTAATCCTAAGGCCATATTCTTCCTTATAGTGCATATTCTTGACATTTGCTCAAATACTCAATAGGTATAGAGAAAGGATACAACCCTGATACACGCCTTTCCTGACTTGAAATCATGTAGTTGTTTGGACAACAGCCGCTTAGTCTAAGAATAGGTTTTGCAAAAACACAACTCAGTGTTCTGAGAAGTGCAACCAGGGTGCTGGGCACCTTAGGAGGAAGGATGGAGAAACTTCGTCTCACATTTTTGGGGCAAGTTGTCAAGAGGGGCCAGTCCTTGGGGAAAGATGTCTTGCTGGGAAAGGTGGAGAGTTAGTGAGAGGATGCTCCTCAACCAGAAGGAATGACAGACACCGTGACTGTCAGCAATGGGCTCGAGAGCGGCAGAAATCATGAGGACAGAGCAGGATGGAGCAAGGTCCTATCGTGTCGTGCACAGACTCACCGAGTCCAAGTTGACTTGATTGGACTTAACAGCAACCACAGCAATTTAAAATAGCAAAAAGTCAGACACAACTCAAGTGTTCATCAATGAATGAATGTCTAAAGAAATGCCGCTACATTCACACAGTGGAGTACTATGTACCATTAAAAAAAAAACTACCAAGAAAGGATGAAATACTGTACAAGACTTATGCTCAGTGACATAAGTCAGTCACAAAAGGGCCATTATGGTATAAGACAACCAATATACAAAAGCAGGAAACAGCTGACACACAGAAAGGCTCAATCTCAGATAATTGAGTGATGGAGAGGAGAATAAAAAGATTTAAAAAAAAAAAGAATAAATGTGTATGGTTTAGGAACGACCTGAAGCTTCCATATCCTCATAGGCTTATCTGAAAATACAACATGGCAGTGACAATCTGAGAAGAGTCACCAATGCAGGACATCATGAGAGGTTATAAGATGACACCAGTGGTTGCAGACCTGGCTCCATCAGCCTGCCTAGAACTGAGTGGGGCTCTCAGGATACCTGCATATAATACCTGGGAGCATCTCCCACTAGGAAAACACAGGTCACTGTGCTCAGCTGTGAAAACCGAGGTCAAGAAATAGTAAAAGATTTGTTTCATGTACAATTGGTAAAGCGTAGAGGTGAAACACAAACTTGCGTTGACTTCTAAGCTGCTTATATTTCACTGCCCTCCTATATTAGTTATTATCGTTGTGCAACAAATGAACTCAAAACAAAAAAAAATGTATTCTTTTACATCGTTATTGAATGCCAGCCATCCTGGAGTTAGCTGTGCTGAAGGTTCGGGTTCTATGACTATCAAGCTGTTGGAGGGTTGCAATCAACCAAGAGTTGCATGAGGGCTAGAGCATCCACTTTCAAGCTCAGTCACAAGCTTGCTGGTAGCTGGTGGCAGCTCAGTTCCCGGCTGCAGGAGCAGCTCTTCTCTGGAAGATGGCTCACAACAGAGCAGCTTGCTTCCCCCACAGCAAGAGATTCAAGAGAGACAGAACAGACAAGGGAATCCCAAAACTGGTACTACAGCCTTTTATAACCTAACCCCAGAAATGCCATAGGATCGTTTCTGCCATCTGCCATTGGTCAAATATACCATGAGTGGGAGGGGAAATACACAGGGTATGACCATCAGTGGGTGGGGGAGCTTGGGAACAATTTTGGATATTAAAGCCATACTTCCCATTTTTCTAAAGATAAACAGAACAAAATAAAAACAAAATGTCATTCTTAGGTGGCATCGGGTCACCCTAAATTCACTGCGATAAATGATAGATCTGAACTATGCCCCCTATCTTATACCATCTTCATGAACTCAGATAGGCTCAAGTCTACTGTTACAGTCACTGCATCAGTTAATCTTTTTCTCTTTCTCTTTCTCTGACCCTATACCTTTCTCAGCATAATGTCCTTTTCCAAGAACTGACTGTTCCTGACAACAGGCCCAAAGAATATGAGACTTGGTCTCACCATCCTTGCCTGTAAGCACTCTGCTTGCACATCCTCTAAGACAAATCTCTTTGGGGTTTTTTTGTTGGGCTTTTTTGGGTTTTTTTGGCATTTCATGAGGTATTCAGTACACTTCTCCAACATCATAATATAAAAGCACCCTTTTTTCTTCTGTCGTCCTTATTTATTGTTCAACTTTCAGATGCAAAGCAAGTACTTGAAAAAACATGGCTAGGATCAGGTGTATCTTGGTCTTTAACCTGACATCATTGCTCTTTAGCATTTTAAAAAGGTTCTTGAAAGCAGCAATATAACACATCTTTTGATTTGACCACTGTCACCAAGGTGTTGACAGTGGATCCAAGTGAAATGAAGCCATTGACAATTTCAATCTTTTCTTCATCTATCATTATGCTACCTTACAGTTCAGTGGTAAAGATTTCTGTCTCCTTTATTCTGAGATATAATCTATATAGAAGGCTGTTGTATTTTATTTTCTGTACCAAGTATTTCAGGTCCTCTTCACTTTCAGCAAGCCAAGATTGTATCATTTGCATAGTGCAGGTTGTTGATGAGTGTGCTTCCAATCCTGAAACTCAAATAACAAGGTGACTATCACCATAAAAAGTTAGAAAAGTAAGACAAAGCCTACAATTTTTTGTCATTGTGCCAAGAAATCTGGAGAACAACCACTTGGCCAACTGACTAGAAGAGATCTATATTTGTTCCCATTCCAAAGAAGGGTGACCCAACAGAGTATGGAAACTATAGAACAATATCACTGATTTCACATGCAAGCAAAATTCTATTGAAGATTATCCAAAAACGACTGGAACAAGCACATCAGCAGAGAACTGCTAGAAGTCCAGGCTGGGTTTAGAAGGGGACATGGTACTAGGGATATTCTAGCTGACGTTAGATGGATCCTAGCTGAAAACAGGGAATACCGGAGGAATGGCTATCTGTGTTTCATTGACTATGCATAGGCGTTTGACTGTGTGGATCATAACAAACTGTGGCTGACTCTGAGAAGAATGGGAATCCCAGAACACTTGATCGTGCTAATGCAAAACCTATACTTGGACCAAGAAGCAGTCGTCAGAACAGAGCAAGGAAACACTGCATGGTTCAAAATTGGGAAAGGCGTACGCCAGGGATGTGTCCTATCTCCATACCTTTTCAACCTGTATGCAGAACAGATTATCCGAGAGGCTGGGCTCTATGAGGAGAAATGTGGGGTCAAGATTGGTGGAAGATCTATTAACAATCTGTGTTATGCAGATGGCACAATCCTGCTTGCTGAAACTGAGGAGGACCTGAAATGCTTGCTGCAGAAGGTTAAGGACTGCAGCCTTCAGTATGGATTGAAGCTCAATGTCAAGAAGACAAAGATTCTCACCACTGGACCAATTGGCAGCATCAGGATGGACAATGAAGAGATTGAGATTGTTAACAGCTTTAGTCTGCTTGGCTCCACAGTCAACACTCTTGGCATCAGTAGCCAGGAAATCAAAAAAACGTATTGCAATGGGAAAGGCTGCTGTTAGAGACCTCTCCAGGGTACTGAAGAGCGATGGTGTCACTCTGGAGACTAAGGTGCGTCTGATACAGGCTATGGTCTTTGCAATCACTTGTTATGTATCAGAGAGTTGGACAATGACTAGGGAGGATAGAAGAAGAATTGATGCCTTTGAGCTGTGGTGCTGGAGAAGAGTATTGAATGTACCCTGGACTGCCAAGAAAACAAACAGATTCAACCTGGAGAGGGTTAAACCAGGCGGATCCTTGGAGGCAAGGATTCTGAAGCTTCGTCTGACATACTTTGGACATATTTTTTGGAGGTAGAGGTCCTTGGAGAGGGCCATCAGGCTTGGGAGAGTGGAGGGATGGTGCAGGAGGGGAAGACCCTCTATGACTGGGGTAATCGGGATGGGTGTGTCAGAGGCAGTGCGATTGGCACAGGATAGAGCAGGGTTTAGGGCTGTTGTACATAGGGTCGCTATGAGTCAGAAGTGACTGGATGGCACATAACAACAACAACAATTTAACAAACAACTCAACTCATCTGCAGCACTGGGATGGACCCTCTGAAGGCAGACAGGGCTAATGCATGGATAAGTCAGCCCTGCTTTTATGGGGTCGCTATGAGTTACAGTGCACCCAAAGTCATGTAACATTAATTTGAGCCAGATTTAGGTAAGAAAATGCAGGTGGGTGGGGGAAAGAGCCAATTAAAGGAAATTCAAGGCTGCAGTGCTATACGCTGGGGACAAAGGTGGTTCTTTAGAGACTAAATTTCACGAATTTACCATTTTAATCTGCTTGAAGGTAGGCAACAAACACGGGATGGGGCGGGGGGGGGGGATCCGTGCATTTAATGCAGCCCATTCACTGGAATTACATTATAACTGTTTTGCTGAAACTCACTGCCCTAGAATCACAATGGATTCATAACTGACCCTCCAGCATGTTCCCCAAAGGTGTAAACTGCACAGGACGAGAATGCCCCTCTTTCTTCCCTCTGAACTTCAAGTGGATTTAAGCCACTAGAAAGGCACCCCTATGAGTTAGCAGCTCCCCTCTATTGAGTAGGTCATCGAGCTCCCTTTCCATCATTGTGTTGTGGTGGTGTTGTGAGCCCTGGAGTTGGAAGCGATCCACAGCTGACCCTCCGGCGGATTCGCAGAAACAGTAAATCACGGGAGGAAATTGCTGATTCTTCCCCTTCGAAGCAGCTCGGAGATTCCAACCAATTGCCCCGGGCTTGCATAGTTAGGAACACAGTAAGGGGAAAATCAGAGTTTCTCTTATTTTTCCTGACCTGCCAAGCAGAAAAGCCAATTTCTTCCTCTGAAACTGAACTTCCATCAGAGTCCTGCAGTCCTCGACTTCACTGATTGAGTCATCTTCTGGAAGCTCGCTTCTGGCTTCCTCCGGGGTCCTAAAGTCCACACTTAGATAGTTCCCCGCTTCCAGAAAGACTACCGTTCCCAGCGTGCACTGCGCCGACAGCGAGCGCCACGTGACCGTCCATAGGCGGGCACACGGTCACGTGGCTCGGGAAAGATGGCTGCCGTGTCAGCTGAGCAGTTTGCAGCCCTCCAGCTTCTGCTCAAGGTAAAACCAAGGGGTGGGGGCAGAGGACCGCGGGTCTTTGTCACCAAGCATTTCGATGGAGCAGGAATTGAGAATAAAAGGGCGCTGGTTTGGAGCCACAACGTGGCCATTGTGACCTTTCTGAACTTTTAGAAAAACAGGAACAAAAAATAATATCACCCCAGCTGTGGGAAGTAGGTAACGGACATGAAGGAGCAATACTAATGCTCCCTACTTTTAATCTTTTAGGTAGACTTTCGGTATTAGTGCATTTAGAAAGGTTCCTTTTGCTGTTTCTCTCATTGCCTTCGGGTCGGAATCGACTCCTCGCAGACCGCACCCTCCTTTGGGTTTCTGAAACTCAAAATCACGCAGGAAGTGTTGTTGTTGTTGTTATGTGCCATCGAGTCGTTTCCGACTCATAGCGACCCTATGCACAACAGCTCTAAACCCTGCTCTATCCTGCGCCAACCACACCGCCTCTGATACACCCATCCCGATTACCCCAGTCACCGAATCAATCCATCTCATAGAGGGTCTTCCCCTCCTGCGCTGTCCCTCCACCCTCCCAAGCATGATGTCCCTCTCCAAGGACCCGTCCCTCCTGGCAACATGTCCAAAGTATGTCAGACGAAGCCCCAGAATCCTTGCCTCCAAGGAGCAGCTTGGTTTAATCCTCTCCAAGATGGATCTGTTTGTTTTCCTGGCAGTCCAGGGTACGGAGAGATTGTCCATTTTTCTCCTGCGGTGGATTTGAACCATCAGAGAAGGACTGTCTTTAGGTTAGCAACGTAACACCCTACAGACTATTCCACCGGAACTGTTATGTTCAAGGTTCTCTTCTGCTTTCACTGATCATTATGTCTGCTCCCCTGTGAATGACATATTTAATGACTAACCATATAGTAAGCCTTAATATAGACTGATTCTGCTCACTGCATTCTTCATGTCAAGGTTGTTCATTTGCCTTTCTATATACATTTTAGAAAATTCTCGTTTCTATGTAAAATAAAATGGCTGATAGTTTGATAAGAATTGTGTTAAAAGTATTTATCAGGTAACGGAAAATTGTTGTCTTTATTGAATCTCCCACTCCATGAGCATAGTATGTTCTCCATTTATTTAGGTCTTTAATTTCTTCCACGTGTGTTGTGTAGTTTTCAGTGTACAAATCTTGTACATGTTTGTTAGATTTATACATAAGTATTACTCTTTTTTTAGTCATTATGAAACCTATTGGGGGTTTTTTGTTCTGATGTCAGTGTGTTTTCTAGTATACAGTACACGTGATTTGTGTGTGTTTGTTTCCTGTAACTCTGCTGAACTCATTCATTCATTCTTGGCAGTTTTTGGTGAATTCCTTAGGACATTCTACAAATAGGGTCAATTATCAAATCCTTTCCAATCCTACATGTCTTTTATTCCATATTTCAGTGGCTGGAATTTCCAGCACTCTGTAGATTAAGAGTCACGAGAACTGCTTTGTTCCTGTTTTTAGGGACAAAACATTCAGTTCACTGTATATAGTATTGGCTGTAGGCTTTTTGTAAATCCTTTTTACAACTATGGATCTCTTCCAGACACATCCAGGGCTGCATCTGTTAGTTGAAACATGCCAATTGGTATAACATATAAAATGCTTCCAATTTTTTCTTTCAGTGTTTTTCATTATGTGCCATCAAGTCAGACATGACCCATAGCTGACCCTCCAGTGAATATTCAGAGGCAGTTAAATTGTATGTGAGGAGATTGCCTATTTTTATCCTGCAGAGCAGCTGGTGGATTTGAACCATGTGACTTCTGGTTGACTCCTTAGCATAAGTCACCAGAACTCCCTGGCTATTATATAGAATATCTACAATATATTCTGTGTGTGTGTGTGTGTGTGTGTGATATACGTCATATATAGTCTATACAGCTATATCTCCATATACATATATAGAATGTATGTATATTTTATGTGTATCATATATACTTTGACATACTTTGGGCATGTTGCAAGGAGGGATGAGTCTGTGGAAAGGGGCATCATGCTTGGAAGGGTGGAGGGACAACGCAAGAGATAAAGTTCCTAGATGAGATGGACTGACTCAGTGACTGGGATAATAGAGGTAGTTGTGACAGAGACAATAAAGTTGGCTCAAGATAGAGCAGGATTCATGGCAGTTGTACACAGGGTCACTATGAGCCGCAAGTGACTTGATGGCACATAATGATAACAACATCATATCTTATTTTTAACATCATAATTATTAGAAATTTACAAAAATATATACATATGTATTGTATTGTACTATATATTATAAATAGAATGTTGTATGTTATAAATAGAATTTAATGCATAATATTTTGTATTGTTGTTAAGTGCCATCGAGTCATAAGCAACTCATAATGACCCTATGAACGAAAGACCTGAACGCTTGTATAACTTTCATCCTTTCCCCATGTTCATTAGGTTTCTGGAGGCAAGCTGTTTCGGAATTGGATGCCACTCCTGCTGAGGGCTAGTGTGTTATGAATCTCAGTTAAAGCTGGACC